GGGCCTTGGTTGTGGGCATCCTGCCTTGATGTGGCGTCCAGAGCTGGCAGAAGTGGGGTCCTTGGCGGTAGCACCCCGCTCTAGGGACTGCCACTGCCCACGCGACTGTGTTCCTTTGGACTTCTGCCCATACTTCTAAGTTGCTGAAGAATTTTCTCTCGTTATTCCCCAGGGCCTTGCCCACATGCCTCAGGGCTGAAAAGGCCGGGCTGGCTAGAATAATAGTAGTACTAAATTTATCAGTGGCTTCTCACATTCCCCGGATGCTGATTAGCTGCCAGGTGTAAGCTACATGTTATATCATCTAATCACCAGAACACCTTAGAGTACTAATGACCAGCACATATTTATATATCCAAGCACTTTGCAAACAGGAGCTCATTCTTAAATTTGCACTTAACTTACCTAATCACTTCTGAGAGAAGTGCTGTTGTTATTCTTGTTTTGTAGCTGGGGAAACTGAGGCACAGGTCCATGAATTGCCTCCCTTTAATGCCACATGCCTTCTAAGTGAGAGAGCTGGGATCTGAACCTAGGAAGCCCCACTTTGGGCTGTTTATTCTGGCTAAGCCGTGCTGCCACTGTTTTGTAAACAAGGGAATTGATCCTCAGCCTTAAGTCGTTTTCCAAGGGTGACCCAACCACAAGTGGGAAAGCAGCACAGATGAGAGTCTGAGGAGGAGGGACTTGGATCCCCGTGGGAAGGGGCTCGCGCATGGTCCCTGGCCGACCGGTGCAGCCGGGTGCCAGGGGCCCAGAAATCAGTACTGTGGGAAATGCTCCTTGCGCACTTCTTTCTGTCTTGGCTGACAGTGATGGGTGTTTGACTGAGAGGAGTGGGCCAGCCGGGCTTTGTGCCTGTGTGGAGTAGTGAGAGCCATCAGGACGCAAGGGGCACATGTGTCTTCGACCCCAGGTCCGGGGACCTCCTTAGATGAATGTCCAGAGAGGTAACTTTTGGAGGGGATGTGGAGGGCATTCTCAGCGTTTCCAGGAGACCTCTGGAGCCCGAGGAGAAGGAATTCAGGAGCCTTTACAGCCAGCCCAGGCTGTGCCCAGGGCCACCCCTTACACAGAGTGACGACAGCTCCTGCTTGCAGGGCCACTGTGTGCCACTCTTTCTTCTGAGGTGTCATCACGACTTCTCTTGAGTACCAATGGAGAGTCTGGACAGAATTCCTTTGTACATACATCTGGACTCTTGACCACTGCTTTTTTTTTTTTTCAATTCTCCATTTTGAGGTAGAACACGCCTTAGTGGTAAACTGATTCTACCTCTCAATCTACAGAAAAATAGAGGAGCAAAATACTGAAAGTCAAACTGTGTTCCAGAGTAGTGGCAGAGAGCTGCCTTTAAAGCAGTCACCTCCGTTTAAATTTTAGCTTTGCCTCTTTCTGTGTGAACTTGATCAAGTGGCCTAGCCTCTCTGGGCCTCAACCTTCCTATCTGTAAAGTGGGATAAACACCGCATGAGGTTAAATTAAGAACATGAAGCTAAATTGATTTACGACAATGCTTGGCAAAGGGCAGCGTTCATCATTGGTGGAGGCCACGTTTGTGCAGGATGAGAGCTGTTTTCAGGTGATGGGCTTGATATGGCTGCATTACCCTAGTGACTCACTCACTCTGCTAGCACCTCTGCTTGGTGCCCCCTAAACACCCCGAGAGCCATGAACTTTTAAGTAAACAAGTATTCAATATATTTTATTTCACAGGCTTGTTTGGCATGAATTCAGATTATTCTTTTAAATAAAATGAGATTTTTGCTCCCAATTAGTACAGCTTGCATCAGGTGCAAATTCAGGGCTCCCTGAAATGAGTGGTGGCAGTTTCTTCAGGGCACAGAGACCCCAGTACCTTACTGGTCAGGTTAGAACAGAGGGACCTGGGGGTGCCACCTCTGCATTGCAGGCTGGGCCAGTGCTTTGTTTTTGTTAGAAGCTCTATGCTGCCCTGCATCTGGAAATTACTCTACTCCACTTCATGAGTATAGACTCAGAGAGAGTGCGAAGCAGGAACAAGATGAGTAGGTTATATACTGTTTGGCTACATGGATGTGTTCTTTGAGCCATTCTCAGAGTCGTGTGAGTTCATTTCATGACATTATCCAAACAGGAACGAGGGGGTTGGACTCCATCTCTTCAACATAGGACTGTAATGTTCACTTACAGGCAAAACCAACTACTTAATTTGTGGGATCCGGTGCAAAATGAAAATGTGGGCCCTCATTCAAAGCCTATCCAAATTGAAAGAGAACAGCAGCTGAGACTGAACCAGGCCTACCAGCACAGGGCCCGTGCAACTGCAGGTGGCAGACTATTGAAACCCATTCCGCTCACAGGCTGGCACGGGTCAGTTTCTGTTGCCCCACCCGCCCAGTTTGCAGGGCATGCAAACTAATTTGATTATTTTTAAAGTGTTTTCTCCTTGGAGCCTTACATCAAACAATGCATCACCTTTCCGATACTTAGTAAGGAAACTGAGGTTGCAAAGGCCTCATGTGTAACCGAACCAGGTTTCCAGTTTGACTTCCTTAGATGCCAATAGTTGGCTCTCTACCCAGCCCCACCAAACCACTGGGAAGAGCCCATGCCCATCCCATGTGGGACACCCAGAGCGCCCAAGTTAGGGGCACGTGCTTACTGAAGGAATAGGGTTCACTGCAGCAGGACTCCTGTCCTTCTGGGTCAGTCTCTTCCCTGCCCATGTTGTCATGTTCTTGTTTTCAGAACTGGCCTCTGAGGCCTGATTGGGGGTAGAAAGCCCCTCCTGAGCTCCATCTGCAAACACACGTAGCTGCCTGCACCATGGTGAGGGGCACTTGGATAAAGGAAACTGATCTTCCTCTTTCTAGCCTGTTCTAGGTTCCTCCTGCCTCAGGGTCTTTGCATGGTTGGGACCCTTCCCCAAGAAAGTCATTCCTCTTACCCTGAATTTTATTTCATTGACTAACTCAACTCACTTTCATTTCCTGTGGGGCTCTCTCTTCCCTGACCCTGCAGACTGGACCAGGGTCTTGCCCTGATTTGCTTAATCCCGGTTCCTCTTCTCCATAGCATCCAACAGTGTTTGTTGGTGCAGATTTCTGTGCTCTCATTGCCCCCCCTCACCCCCCCCATGGGCTCCCTTGTCCCCCGGACCCTCAGCTCCATGCGGTTAAGAATGTACCCTCTTCTTTGCAGTATTGTCCAGCATGTACTCAGCAAGTATATGTTGAGTGGCCAGGTGAGCAAAGCATAACTTGGGGCATAACCTGAAGGAGCAGGAGAATGTGTAAGGGCGTGGGTGTGTTCTATTTCCCACGTCCATTCCCTGTGATGCAGGATTACAGAGTAAAAGATGTTTTTTTCTGTGCCACATGGCATCAGCAGTTCCCCTGCCTAGGCCAGAATAGGGAAGAATCTGTGCCCCAGGGCTGCTCCCTTATCTTACTTAATACAATGTCCTCTTTTTACCATGGTCACCACCTTAAAGGCCCTGTCTCTAAATACAGTTGGTTCTGGAGAACGGGGTGTTAAGGCTTCAACAGATGAATTTGGGGTGGGACACAATTCAGCTCCTAACAAGGGTCTTTGTACTTCAGTGGGAGAAACATCTGTGGGCCATTTGTAAGAGAATATGGAGCCACATCAAGGCAGAGGGGTGCCCTGGTACAGAGGAAAGGGGCGTTCACCTTGGGAGATGGTTCAGTCTATCCATCCCTTTTGGGAGCTGCTGATTCTTGTGTGAGCTGCAGGAGTGGAAGGGTTACTGACTTTCCTCCAGGATGGAGTCTGGCCTCCCATGGGGACTGGAGCGCTTGGCGTGTTCTTCTGGTTTCAGCCACTATAAATAATCCCGCCTTCATGTGGCGCTAAGGGGAGAAGACTGGGGTGTGGGGTCCTGGCTGCTGTGCTCTCATCCCACCCATATTGTTTCAATTTCCTGTCTTCCCCAACTCTCCTTGACTCCAGTGGGGAGCTTTTGGGGGTGGGGTGAAGCTGGACTGCAGTCCTGCAAACCCGCTGCTGCATCTCTGCTGTTCTCCCCGAGCTGAACCTCTGTTGATTGTGTGCGTGTGGGGGGCAGCCTGCCTTTCCCTCTGTGTCTCAGCTCACGAGGGCGCTTCCTCCACCGGGGTCTGTGGGGACCTAGAGAGGCCTACACAGTTGGGAGGAAATGTTCTTGGACCAATTTAACATGGTGTGTGTGGGCTAGATGCCACCAGGTCAGAGAGATTCATGGGAATTAGTCCTGCAGGAGGAACTTATGTGGGTAGTGAGGCTTTTACTAGAGTGCAGGGACCCTCCACAGTTACCCCGTGACCTGTGTTCTCTGCGTTCCTTCTTGGGCGGCTTTGTCCTTTGACACTGTAGACCTAGGAGACCTCACTCTTGTCCACAAGCTGTTTGGAGTTCAGCTGAGCACAAATCTTTTTCTGAATTTTCTTCCATCTGTTTTCTTAAGATAACAGAAGGCGATGATGGTATAGTACACTGAATAATCACCCTCCAGTATTTCTGGATCCTAATTTCTGGAATCTCTTGGGTTATCTTATATGACAAAAGGCACTTTGTAGATATTATCCAATTAAGGATCTTGGTGGACCCTGGAGATCCTGGTAGGTCTGCCTCGTAAGTGATGAGGAAGATACTTTTAACTCTTTAAAACATGAAAGAAAATTGATCCTTTATACAATCTCTCAAGGTGTTCAGTTTTAGCAAATCAGTATAAGGGATACCAGTCCAGGATGGCGCCTCAGGTGAATCTAGCTAAGAAACAAAGGAGGCTGTGTACTGGACTTGAATTCTGAAGCCTCTTTCCAGTTGGTAAGAGAGCCCCGGTTCCTCGGCTTTCTTCCTGTGCTACAACTCCAAGGCCATCCAGAGGGATGAGCAGGGAAGCCCCGGCTGTCCCAGTTCCCTGGACCTAGGTTAGTCCTCTTCTGACCAGCGCTGGTAGCCTCCCTTTGTCGCTCAGGCTGGGCCAGGCGGCCACAAAGGCAGGCCCAGGTCTCTCGATGGAAGCCCAGCAGAAGGGGAGCATGCTGTGCTCCCTGAGCCACAGCATCGCCCGCTGTGCAGCTGGTGAAGCTGCCTGGAGCAGGCCTCGGGGTGGCAGGTGGTTGGGACGGGACATTGGCATACAGTTTTCAAGAGATTGCAAACATCCAGATCATTATGTGAAATATGATTTTAAATGTCAGCAATGAATTAAAAGAAACCTCTTATAGATGAGGGCACGGAAGTCCTCCCCCGTGAAGCCCCCCTCTCCAAGGTAGAGGTAAGGGTGGGGCCACTGGGGATGGCCTTCCTGTCCGGACATGAAGATCACTGGGCCCTGGAGAAAAGAACCACTGCGTACCCCCCCGGAGCAGAAGCACCGTCCTCATTTCCTTCCCCCCCTTTTTGTTTCTCGGCAGAATTCTGCGGGGCCCTCAATGTCACTGTGTCTCCAGGACCCGTGGTTGACTACCTGGAGGGAGAAAATGCCACGCTTCTCTGCCACGTCTCCCAGAGGAGGCGGAGGGACAGCTTGCTGGCGGTGCGCTGGTTCTTCTCACGCCCGGACTCCCAGGAGACCTTGATGGTTAAGATGACCAAGCTCCGGGTGGTGCAGTTCTATGGCAACTACAGCCGCAGTGCCTTCCGCCAGAGGCTGCGTCTCTTGGAGGAGAGGCGGGGGGTACTCTACGCGCTCTCTGTTCTGACCCTGCAGCCAGCTGACCAAGGGCACTATGCTTGCAAAGTCCAGGAAATCAGCAAGCACAGGAATAAGTGGACAGCCTGGTCCAATGGCTCTTCAGCGACAGAAATGAGAGGTAAGGGGACCTCTGCCCTCTGGGGCTAGATCAGTGCATCTCCCTGCAGTCTGTCAGGAAGTGGTCCCAGGATGGCTCTTCTGGGCTGGAACATCTTCCAGGCCTCCCGCGGTCGTGGCTGTGTGAGTCAGGCAGTGGGGATGAGAACAGCTCTGGGCATGGATGCTGGGAGTGATGTATATTGTAGACGTAGAAGCAGGAAAGACAGGAGCAGTGCCCATGTCACCCTACCTGCCCCCAGGAAAACCTTCTTCCAGGCTGAAAGATTGGACTGGCACCGTGCGTGGCCTCGGGTCTGGGCCTGCAAATTCTTGGTTGCTTTACTGGGGCATCCATGGGGGGAGGTGTGTGCTGGAGGAGTCTGAAGTTTCCAGGTCTCAGGGCAGACAGGCTTGCTGCTGTGATCTGTCACCCAAGGGAACCCATCCAAGCTCACTGGGAAATTCATGCAAAGGTGTGAAATGGGTGAGCTCTCCCTTCCTGGAGAGGAGGGTGCGTTCTGGAACAGCTTAGCTACTTAGTACTCTCTTTGAAGGTTGTTTTTTTGTCGTAAATGTTTATTCAAGAAGACTCCACTCCACTTTAGTAAGATTTGCTATCATGCCCTAAAATTATACCCTGCATTGCTTTAAACTTGAATTTGGCCTCACCTGAGATCAGGAGAATCACAAAATAAAATCAAGGATTCCAAGTATGAAAAAGGAGATAATTCGTGTAGAGGTATTTTTGATGTCTATCTTATATGAGTAGGGGACTTGTTAAAATAAATAATACATGTGGATGGCCTTTAAACAGTCCACCTTTGTCTCTGGAGCTTGCTTACTGTAATGTTCCTCAGCACAAAACGATGTATTATTTGAAGAGTTGTGTCCTTTTCTACTTAAGAAATTAATTCAAGAAAACAAATGACTATTAGTATAAATATGTATTTTGGCATAGAAATCAGAAACATCAGATGACCAAAGGCCGCAAGGGAATCCTCTCTGAATGTCATTCAGCTCTACACTTAAGGTCGCATATGTGTACGCTGGACACACACCTTCACTCTGTGGTCAGGAGCCACTGTCTGTCCAGGGATGGGCAGGTCCCCACGTCAAGCGAGTTTACTAGCTAAGACAAATCTGCTTGCAGTGTGAAACTGGTTCCTCCTGGAATGGTTGAGGACTTGCTCGAGAATACCTGAGGTAGTTCTTTACACTTCACTGGAAATGAAATCCCCCTTCTTTCCCTCCCCTCCTCTCCTCCTCTTCCCTCTTCCAGCCCAGAAGCCCCTTTCTCTTGTCCCAATGCCATGCCAGGCTTCCACAGTTTCTGTTTCTTCCCCTCCTCCTCTCTTCTTTTCACTCATTGCCTCAGTATTTTTTGGTTGTGTTCACTGTATGCAACTTACTCAAGTTTTCTGTATGTGTGAACATTTTTACAATAAGATTTCAGGGGGATAAAGAGAAATGTGAGAACACTGTTGATCTTTGAGCCTCACAGGCGTGACTCTGCAGGCCCACTTGGACCTGCTGTCTCCTTCCCTCTCCTTCCTTCCTTTTCTGCTTGCTTATGCCTTACACGCTACATATGACTCAGATGTGCAGGTTCACACCTCTTCAGATGGTGTGTTCCACACCGCACCCCCCACCAAGGCACCCATTTTCGTGGCCTCTTCCCATCTTCTCCCCTGCTCTGCCTTTTGGTCTCTGTTCACCCTCACACACTAACACATATTGCCCTGATAGCTCACTTAGATGTGGTCCTAACCTCACAGCAGAACTAAACTTCTCCTGCTCCCCACACTCCCTCAGCCTCTTGGGAAGACCGTGGTTTTCTGATTGGAAGATTTAAAACTTTAGGAAGCAATGACATTGCTTCTACTTTCTAGAACCTTCTTCTACCTAGGCTACTAAAGAACTACACTGAGGGGGTTAAGGAAAGGTAGCCTCAAGAAAATGATATGAAGGCACTTACATGTTTAGGTTGGAGTGTGTGTGTTCCAGACTGGGGGCAAAGTGTCCAGGTTTGACTTGCTGAACTTCCTGGCCAAGGTGGGGGGTGGACTGGGCTCCAGCCTCCTGGGGCACCTTTCTCTGGACCTTTCGCTTTGTTCATCTCCAGGCACTTGGTTTTCCTAAATCTCCACTTCATGTTAAGAGTTGTTATATGGAAAGCAAGAACAAAAATAAACACAAAGAAAAGTTCTATGAGTAAATGTGTTTGGCTTGAGATATTAAATAGAAACTTCCAGAGATGTTTTTGGAGCGAGTCCTCCCCCGCCCCCTCCAGGGCCCATAGCCCCTCTTTTCTAGTAACTCACTTTGCTTTCGTTCCTGCAGGCTGTCGTAGCCATCCATGGGAGGCGGAAGTTTCCCCTGGAAACTCACTCTAATAATATTCCCACCCCTGCTCGTGACCACGGACTATCATGTGCTCTTTCTTGCAGTATTCTTAGTATGAAATAAAATTGCTGTCTGTTCCTGTAAATTCCCAGAAAGGCTGAAGCATGGTGTCCTCATCTCACTGTTGCAAATGCAAGTTGACTTGGGTTGATTCACTTAATGATTGGTTTCTGGCACAGAGCAAATGTCCTAGGAGTTGGTTCTGATTTCCACATGTTGGTTGTTTTCTATTGTAAAATAATATAGCTCAATTAGAGAAGGCATGAACAAAAGCTGGTTCAAAGAAGAAAATATAAATGATTTACATTATCTCTACCGGGGCATAACTTAACATTTCAATGTAAATCCTTCCAGTCATTTTTTTGTAAATAAAATTAGAATGCTAATTTCAGATTTCAGGCACACCATAAATACTGTTTTGTGGCTGACTTTTTTCACATTACTAAGTAGTGTGTATATTTTCCCTTGTTGCTAAATATGCTTCCATAATATGATTGTAATGGTGAGGTGATTACATCATTCCATGATACGGATACACCACAATTTAGCTTCCTAGTTCCTGTTATGGGCATTTAAGGTGTTCCAAATGGCTTGTCAATATATTTCTACAGAGCGCTATCTTTAGGATAAAGTTCTCAAATAAAATTGCCATGTGCATAAGTATACTCCATTTTAAGTATGATATCATTGAAACAGGTGCAATAACCTCTAAAGTAGTTCATCAGTTTATATTTCCATCAGCATTGAACGTGTCTCTTTTCCCATGAATTGATGTGCATACTACATACTTTCTGAGGGTGGTGGTGATGATGATGGTGACTAAGAATGATTGGAACAATGCCTGGTTCACTGTTTCCCTTGACAGATAATGAAAGAAATAGTTTTTGATGGCAGCTCTTGCGTGAATGCTTCAAGGTAGGCATGACTTGATGGATAACACTACCCACTCTTCCTTGGCCTATGCTAAGTGTACATCTTATTTGGGGTCACTTATCTACCCTTCCGCTTCTAGCAGCCTTCTTCAGACTTGCCAGCCATGGAGACATCTCTCACTGGTAGCATCTTATAGCTCCTGTTAGTGTTCCTTACACAACATTGTGTAGCTTTTTTGTAACCTGCTGTGACAGAGCATGTAAAAAATATATATATAGCATTAAAATTTTATAGGATTAGAGTCTAATGCTGTAAAAACCAAAAATATGGAAGTTTTGCCTTTTCCCTGTTATACTCTAATGTCCCCAGTTTTACTGTGTCCCCAAAGGTAATCATTGTCAATGATTTAGATCTTTCAAGCCCTTTTCATTGGCATTCATGTATACAAATACACAAGAATTTTAACAATATTATACTTAATGCTTCATAAGTAATGTGGATAATGTTTTTTTTTTTTTGTAATTGATGTTACATAACAAGATAATACCAATTGCATCCTATTGTTCCCCAGGTGATGAGCATTTAGAAAACTTCTAATTTTTCATAACACAGCCAGTGCCTCATTGTATACATTTCAGTGAGCATCACTGTATATATTTCTAAGTGTTTCTGTTGGTTAGATTCCTGAAAAGAAATTGCTGGGCCTAAGGCTATGCACATTAAATTTTTAATAGACAATGCCAAAATGCTCTCCAAAAAAACTTTTCACTCCGACCATGATTGCATGATAGTGTGTATTTCCCTGAAGCCTCATTACAATCAATATTATTATTTTTTTTATTATTTATCACAATGATGGGAAAATAATATTTCATAGTTTTAATTTCTGTTATATTCAGTACTATGTAATTTAATTTCAGCTATTGAATTCATTTATTAATGAGGTTGAACGTTTCCTCATGTTTATTAACTATTTAAAAATATTTTTCTGTGAGCTTTCTGTCTGTGATCTTTGCCTAATTTCCAGTTGATGGCTGTCCTTTTTATATACCTATAGAGATATACACAAACATGTATGTGTAACAGATTAAGCAATTGGTGTCAACTTAATAGTGTCTCTTAGTAATTTACCTTTTTCTTTTTTAATTTCTTAAAGCCTGTATTTCAAAATCCATTCTAAAGAAACAAGCTACTAAGTCCTAAAAAAAAATGGACGGAATAAAATGGAAACAATCCAGAAAGGCTAAATGCTGTGTAATGCTAACTATATGATATTCTGGAAAAGACAGAACTATAGAAACAGCGAAAAGACCACTAATTACCAGTGGTTACAGAACAGGAAGAGATAAATAAATGGAGTATAGAGGATTTTGCAGGGAAAACATTCGGTATGCCAGTGTAATGGTGGCTACATGTCATCATACGTTTGTTTAAACCTAGGGAATATATAACAGCAAGAATAAACTGTGGATTGGGGATGATTATGATATATCAGTTTTGATTGATCAGTTGCAACAAATGTGCCACTCTGGGCGGGGCATGTTGACAGTGGGGGGTGAACTATGCGTGTGTAGGAACTGAGGGATTTGGGAAATCTATGAACTTCCTATCAAAGATAGACAAAAATCCCGTTAGCTTGTACTATTAAAACCTGCTTTCTTACTTTTTCTTTTCAATCAAGACATGCCTTTCGCCGCTTAGAATCATTCCTAGCCAGTTAGAATCTGGACGAGTCACTTTTCC